ACACACACACACACACACACACGCACAAACACAGACACACACACACACACACACACACACACACACACACACACACACACACACACACACACACACACACACACACACACACACACACACACACAACTATATTTCCCTCACGAAGGTCCCTAAGGCTTCCTTTGTTATCTCCTTTAGGATACATCGGAGCATCCTTAATGAAAGGGAAGGAGATGATGCCGTCCCACAATTCCTTGCAGCTGCAACATTTGAAGTGATGAACAACTCAGCTGTTAACGGAAACAAGATGAGACTGGAACAGACTCAATAACGTCTGTGTTGTAATGGTACTATTTTACAATGTACAGGGCGTAGGGATACGTGTGTGACGGCAGTCCTGTTTGGGGTAATGACCGGAACTAGTTTATGCTTCGGTGTGCTTTAGACATGAACGTGTCCAGTACAGTCTCCGGTGTTATGTCTCAAGAATATCTTTATTGAACAGTTCAAGACAGTCGCTGTCTCCTAATCAACACTACCACGTCCTCTGTTTCGTCTCGTGTCCTCCTTGAGCTGGTTTTATAAGATCCCCTCACTCATCTGTGAGACTACATTATTGATTGTGTTAAACCCTTTATAATCGTATTAAACCCAACTTTTCACGGACACTTCCGGCGTAAGAGATGAGAGATGTATTCCTCACTGAACTGAAGGTGTGTTTTCACTCCTCTCCTTAACCCAGTTCTGCAGTGATGGTACCGGTATCTGGATTTGTATCCCTGTCTAACCATGCATCCTTTCTCACTGCCACTTTGCAGCTAATGCTAATTTAACATACTTACTCAAAAAGATTGCTTTAAAGTAGATTTAATCGCTCTGAAATGTTTTAATAATGTAGTTTTTGGGAGAAGGGGTGGGATTAGATAAGTGTAAACTTCTTCCCACCCCTTTTCGGATGTGTAATTAAGTAGATCATTTGTTTATGTATAATTTGTAAGTCAATAATATTTTTGTTTATCAATTGGACACTGCTTAAGTTTGAACAGCATCATAATTATCTTGTTTCATTTCATTATTGTTATAATTTTTGCATAGGACAATAAAACCTTTGAATCTTGAGTCTAAACAGCCTCGTGTCTCACCTTGTAAGTGTCCACCAGTCGTGCGTGGGGGAAGTGGAACGGGGCGATGAAGAGACGGACGCACTCGCTCTTCACTCCGTCTCGGTACAGGTTGTCGGCGATGATCCGGGCCACGTAGTTCTTCCCGGTGCCGGACCAGCCGTGGAAGGAGAGCGTGAGCGGCTTGTTGGACTCGGGGCTGCTGAGGAAGCCCTGCACCGCCTTCAGAACCACGGACTGGACCAGGTGCTGCCCGTGGAGCCTCGTCCGGAGGTCCAGCGCCAGACCTGAGGGGGGGAGAGACAGAGAGAGAGAGAGGGAGAGGGAGGGAGAGAGAGAGAGAGAGATGAGAGAGAGAGAGGTAGAGAGAGAGAGAGAGAGAGAGAGAGAGGAAGAGAGAGAGAGAGAGGTAGAGAGAGAGGAGAGAGAGAGAGAGAGGTAGAGAGAGAGAGAGGTAGAGAGAGAGAGAGAGAGGTAGAGAGAGAGAGAGAGAGAGAGAGAGAGAGGAGAGAGAGAGGAGAGAGAGAGAGAGAGCGAGAGAGGGAGAGGTAGAGAGAGAGAGGTAGAGAGAGAGAGGAGAGAGAGGGAGAGAGAGAGAGGTAGAGAGAGAGAGAGATAGAGAGGAGAGAGAGAGGAGAGAGAGAGAGAGAGAGGGAGCGGTAGAGAGAGAGAGAGAGAGAGGAGAGAGAGAGAGGAGAGAGAGAGAGAGAGAGAGAGAGAGCGAGAGAGAGAGAGAGAGGTAGAGAGAGAGAGAGAGAGGAGAGAGAGAAAAGAGGAGAGAGAGAGGAGAGAGAGAGGAGAGAGAGAGAGAGAGAGGGAGCGGTAGAGAGAGAGAGAGAGAGAGAGAGAGAGAGATTGTTTTGATTTGATTTGAGTAAACTGCATCAGAAATGAGCTCCTGAACAAAAAAATCGAAATTGGACCTAAA